CCCTTTTGACCCCGTGAGATCGTGTGAACCTGGTGTGCTTCTACTTTATGATTTGTTATTAGTTCATTTCTTCTGTCTACTCTAAACGTTATCATTTCCGATATAATTTGCCATCTTCCGGTTGACGCTGTGTTCGTAACTCCTCACTATTTTTTTTTGAAAATCACGAGGGCGTGATTATCTGTAGGAAGGGAGGGTATAGTATCCCTGCCCGACCAATACGGAACCACTACGGAACTAATACGGAGCTTTGCCTGATGTATATTTAGTGTATCTCCGTATGTAAGCGTACGGCGTCTGCTGCATAAAAGCGGCTGCGCATTTCTGTTTTGATGAAGATGAGAGATTTTAATAATAACGAGCTATTCAACCTCCAGGTGTGCACCGGAGAGAAAGTCAGTTATTTTGCCGCTTCTTCTTTCACTAATAATTATATTTCAGGTGTGTACCTGAAAGAAGTAGAATAAAAGTAATTCTTGTTGATTTCACCGCGCCTACCACTCGGCTACCCATTACACTAGTGGACATTATAGCATAATTTGTAGTTCCCTGGTCCTTCTTCTTATAGATCAAATCAAAGGTACTCGAAGTAATAAATAGGAAAGATGTACTTACAAGTTACAAACACTGCTATGTATCCACTCGACAAAATTCTATAGCACCTTATCAAAACGTTTCCCCTTTTACGTTGAAACCTGCGAGTTCCACCACTGGCATCAGGTCCGTGTGATCAATCCCAGCCAATGACTTCTTTGTGCCATAGTCCCTAGCATATGATCCATCACCCTTGCAAGCTGGTGAATGCTGTAATGCCAGCACAAGTTAGTTGCTACAGCACTGAAGACTACAAATTTTCGGTCCATTCAAATGTCAGCCTCCCAGGGCTAAAATCCATTTCAGCCGCATCAAATTTTCGGCCTGTACTGCTGCCGCCTGTATGCACTATCACACTGAACCTTGCAAAACAAAATTTCGGCCACGACAAATTTCGGTCAAACATGACCAGACCGAAAATAGCCGAAAATAAATATGCGCCGATATTTGTTGACTTTCAGAAGGGTTAACATAGCTTGTTCGATTATATAATTATTATATTCCTGTTTCTTTTGAACTAAATAAATACTGTTTCTTTTGTTTGTTTTTCTCACTTCATCTAGCTTTTGGTTTGCTCCTTCCTTTTTCTTTTTATCTCCTTATGATCGGTTTTTCGGGCCTCTTTGTAGTACGCATTGGCGGATAATGCTCGAAAAGGTGGCAGATTCTGCTCCAAAAGCAGTGAAATTGACAGAACCATACAAACCTTATGGCGGGCAATTCCTCGAATTCTGCTCCATTTCTTTATCCACATACCAAACATGCATGAAACTTACCAGAAAAAGTACCGAATTATGCCAATTTTCCTGCCGGCATTATCCGCATATGTCTACTTTGTAGTAGTACATTGTACTGTTGAGCCACCGAAGTAAAATATGGGGCCGTCCGTAATTACATGTATTTACTTAGAGACGTCTCTAAGAGACGTTTCTGGTGGGTGGGTTCGCCTGCAAGGTGTTTCTAAGAAATACATTTCGGAATGCATGCATACCATACCGCGCGTGTATGTAGCACTGCTACAGCTAGTACAGGTAGGCGTTGAGACGCACTCAGTCTGCACTGCACGGGTCACTGCAGAGTGGCCAGGGAGACAGGGAGACTGTTCACTAGCTACATGACATTGTATAAAGGGTCCACGGAATGCACTTGGCCAATTCCGCCTCTTCCGAAATGAAGGCAGGATTTTTCATCAGTCTCCCTCGAATTCATGCATTCAATGGTGTACTCTTTATTCTGTGTGATATCAGATGAATCATTGTTCACAATATGTCGGAACTCTTTCCACAGTTTTGTCGAATGGATTGCGAGCACAGAATTTGCGACAAATCCCAGTTGTTCATTTCCATAGGCTCTATTCAGCTCATTCAGCTCAGTGCCACGGGGTCATTCGAGAACTATAAAAAACCTGCCGCGGGGACATTGTGTCAAGTAAACTGAATAGTATGTTAAAAAAAATACCGGCATAGATCTGCATCATACATGTAGTGTAGTCACGGTAGACCAGGGTGCCCTACACATGATATTAACCATGTACTCGGTGATTCGGCTGTTCAATGCAACAATCTCTGTAAATAAGCTCCCAGCTTATATCATGTGACTCTTGATATTCAAGAGTATCTGCATTATGATCATGAGACAGAGCTTACACAAGGCAGAACAGCAGAGACCAATGTCTTTCTCGTGCTTCCGAGTTTCTTGTAAAAAGAAACACTCATCGGCCTGTGTGACCGGACCAATGGCAATGGGAGCTAGCCTATACTCTTCAGTGATATTATGGTATGTGTAGGGCTCCGAGTCTCTGCCATGCGCCAGTCACGGGTAGGCATATGCGGATAATGCCGGCAGAAAAATTGGCATAATTCGGTACCGTTTTTCTGGTAAGTTTCATGCATGTTTGGTATGTGGATAAAGAAATGGAGCAGAATTCGAGGAATTGCCCGCCATAAGGTTTGTATCAGGGAGTAGTACAATACCGGTATTGTACTACTCCCTGGTTTGTATGGTTCTGCCAATTTCACTGCTTTTGGAGCAGAATCTGCCACCTTTTCGAGCATTATCCGCACACCCCTAGTCACGGGTAGACCCGGGCCGGAACCCCACTCCTGGCAATGCCAAAGGCGGACCCATCTGCCATCTGCCTAATAGCATGCAGGGAGTCGTGAAATATCAGTATTTGACGACTCCCTGATAGCTGCATGGTACTGTACCAGGGACCGGAGTCGCGGGCCACAAGTAACTTGTACTGTACCAAGAGTACATCAAGAGTACATGTACTCTTGCTTGTACCGGCGACTCTCCCAGCCTTGTCATCAAATAATTACATTGTACTTCACAACCAAATGAAAACCAAAGTGGATATCCCGAATTCGGTACTGAATAGAACAAGAGTAATACAGTACTGTAGCAAGCCACAAAGCAAGTGGTCCAGATAAAATACCTCCGTCCATCTACAAACTCCTCCAGAAACAAATCGCTCCCTCTCTTGCCCAGCTCTTCACCATCTCTTTCAGATCAGGTATTTTTCCCTCTTTAAACAAGATTGCCAACGTTCGTCCAATTCACAAGCGCGTGAGTTCATCTGATCCCAGTAATTATCGACCTATTTCCCTCCGGCTCCCGATCGCTTCCAAGCTGCTGGAGAGGTGCGCGTATGAGCAAATCATGTCGCACAGACAAGGTGAATCATTTCCGAACGCGTTGCCGAATGAACAGTTCGCCTACCGCAAGCAGCATTCCTTCGAAGATCTTTTAGCCACGACAACAAACGACTGGCAAGCATGTCTAGACAAGGGCCAATTTGTTGTCGCTGCTTTTCTCGATCTCAGCAAAGCATTTGACACAGTCAATCACGCCTCCCTTCTTCAAGAACTCTTCTCTATTGGTGTTGGTGGTACTGCACTGCAATGGATAGCTAGTTTCCTACGTGACCGTCGCCAACGAGTAGTCACGAAACATCAGGAAGGTGAACAGTACACACCTACAAGAGGTGTACCTCAAGGGTCAACATTGGGTCCTGCCCTCTTTAACCTATCTGTCCGAGCTCTGCCATCATGTACCATCACGAGCAAGGTTCGGCAATTTGCAGACGACGTGTCTATGTATAAGGCAGGCACGAACTTGCAGAAACTCACTGATGATCTCTCTGCTGACATATCTATCATCAGAGAGTACCTACGTGACCGAGGTCTCAATCTTAATGACTCCAAGACTCACTTTATCATCATAAGACAACAAACAAAATGTGTTCCTCCTAACATCTGCCTTCGGCTCGGCGATGTCCTCCTCATATCCCCAACACCAACGGTGAAGTATCTTGGCCCTCACCATTGACGAACATCTATCCGATTCTCCTATGTCACTGAAGTTGAGAAAAAGGTCGGAACAAAACTTGCCATGTTCCGCAAGATCAGGGACAATCTGACACCGGCTGCGAGAAAGACCTTCTACTGCTCATTTATTAAAGCACACCTTGAGTATGGTTCTGATGATGCGTTTGTACACTGCCTTCACACCACACAACATGATAGACTAACTCGTATTGCTAACCGCGCTGTTAGGATTGTTTTTGGTTTCCCTTGGCACTATGATGTTTCAGTCTTACACACCAGATATGGCCTTGCTCCTATTGCACTGCCGCTATCAGCTTAAACTGTATATTCTTGTCTTTCGGGCCCTACGTGGCATGTGTAGCACTCTGCTCTCTGATTGCTTCTGCCTTCGTTCTGCCACAACACGCACAGCTGCCCGTACACGTTCCCAGTCCATAGATTCACTTGCTCTGCCTAAAGCACGCACTCGTTATGGCTTATTCGCTTTGAGCTTTCTGGCTTCTGACCGCTGGAATTCTCTTCCAGCTGACATTCGCTCTTGCTCCTCGCTTTCACTATTCCGCAAATCTATACGTGACCACATAGGGTACCCTGTAAAAAGGCCTTAGGCCTGTGGGGATTGCCCTATTCAAAATTTAAATAATAATAATAATAAGAGTCCATAAACACTCTTGGTAACCGGGCCGTGCTGCGAAATCACAAGCAACATCAAAGAGTAACTAACTTACTTACAGGGGGGCGGGGCGGGCGGGGGGCAAACCGTCAGCAGCAAAATGGACTGAAAATGAAACTCTCAGCGGCAAAACCCAGTGTTGACTCACATCATCAGGGAGTCGGCAAATACGGTATTTGACGACTCCCTGACTCACATCATGCATATCCGGTATTTACGTTATGCACTGCATGGCGTCACCAGAGTGACCAGACTCACCATCTATATCTCACGTGCACATAATGCACACAGTCACATGGTCAGTGCAAAAATTATTCATGTCATGATTACGTCACTTTCAGTCAGGTATTTCCAGGGCTGATGAAAAAAATTCAAATGACAACAGCGTCCATCTCTGTTATGTCTCTGACCAGTGCACAGTTATCATGGTTATCGAGACGTCGAGTTACATGACTTGTACTCCAATGTCGACTCTGTCAAGCTAGAAAGAGAGTTGCCTCGAGAAGCAACCACTTTAGGGATGGTGCAGACGTAGGGAGAGTGATAGAGACAGTAGCCCCAGACCCTGTTCAGCATTACCTACGATTTGTTTGTGTGAAGCCCAACTGCTTATGACTGGTGTCCATCTGAAAGTCAGGACATAGCTTTTCTAAGCTCCTCATTGTCGTGTTCATGGTGCGTGGATTTGCTTCAAGCATGATCAAATAATTTGTTGAACTACCTGCCTGTGATATGGCTGTTTCAGACGAAAGGCTTCCTTAGTATAGTAGTAGTTTCTACCTTGGCGAGGTACATACGACTTAGTACATGTTGTGACATTGCTGAGATCGCTGAACATGTCCTCCCAGCTGAAGAAAGTATCCGTCCTGAACTCGCAGGTGGTGGAGGATTATACTGTAAGGTGATAGTCCCTTTCTTCTTGTACCAATTTTGTGTTGTTAGGTCGTATGAGGAATCTTGTCACAATAATTAATTGTTATTGTTTGTAGTAAATTCACAAAAAAATGATTATTGATTACTGGTACATTCGTATACGACTTTGAGTAAGATTATGACATGCTGACACAACAGTGAGAATTTATGCACAAATCGTTTTCGTGGCAGTTATGCAAGGAATGAGTAAGCAGTCAGAGTGTTGTGCAACGACTGCCATACAATAATAGAGGACTTGGGCAGGCAGGCACTCGGTGATGCTAGTTGATTTATTTGTGGTTCGATTTATTTGTGTTTTGATTTATTTGCGTTTATTTGGCATGGCTATGCGCACGCTGCTCAGTCTTGTGTGAGCCTAGTCGGTTGGACCAAACAGAGCAGAGGGCACATGACTAGTTTGGGCGCGTGCTTTAGTTGATTTAGTGGTGCATGTACCTTCCTGTGGGTATATGTAGGACTCAGTGACCAGTCAAGGCCCCGTGACCAATCACGGTCCCCGTGACCAGTCAAACAGTCACAAACCCCCCATGACCAGTCACAAATTAGTTTACCAGTCACAATGCCCCATGACCAGTCACAAATCACCATACATGTACATGTGTAAAGTACACAGTTCGTGACTGCTCGCAGGGTGCTTCGTACTGCAGGATTTGTTGTGGAAACTATAATACCCTATGAGCGGTCACAGAATACAGTTGTGACCACTATAATTCCATGCGGAATGTACAGTTGTGACCACTCTTTCTCTGTGAGTAGTCACAGGCAGAATATAGGTAAATCTGTATTACAAGAGAGATTGGAGGCTTTGTCACAACTCTGAGTTTCACGTATTACTACGATCGTCAGGCAACTGATGGCTCCTAAACGGGCAGCCTGAACATAAGGGGGAGCAAGGGGTTAGGTGGGAAATTCTAAGGGGTATCATAGGCGACGGGTATTATAGTGCAAGAGTCAGGTGCAGGCGTGAAGTTGCCAAGTCTTCAGACTTGGGGCTATGCAGCAGCAGTTCCAGCGTGAATGACATAGAATAGAGCTGGGGACCACACATACACCCACACCATTACACACACATACACCCACACTCTCTCCCTTTTCTCACATACACTCACACGCGTGCACACACACACACACACACACACACACTCATTCTCTAAATCTCTCTCACACACACACGCACATAATTATGTCATTCATTCTCTACATCACACACACACACACACCTGGCCTGGTGTACAGCTGCCAAATGCTTAGCCACGCCGCCCCCGAGACAGGGGAAGAGTAGAAGAGAGAGTTTGAGACACACAAACACACATCCACACACACACACACACACACACACACACACACATCTGGCCTGGTGTACAGCTGCCAAATGCTTGGCCACGCCGCCCCCCCCCCCCCCCCCCCCGAGACAGGGGGAGAGTAGAAGAGAGAGTTTGAGACACACACACACACACACACACACATCCACACACACAAACATCCACACACACACACACATCCACACACACACACATCCACGCACGCACACACAAACACACACACACATTCTCTCTCTCCCTCTCTCTCACACACACACACACACACTCTCTTTCTCACGCATGCACACACACACACACACATGCGCGCGCACACTTACTCACACACACACAAACACACACACACACACACACAAATAGGCAGCGGGACTACCAGCTAGATTCACGTGACCTTGCGGACAAAGTTACGGAGGTAGAACTTGTTTTCATGACGACACTTGGACACAAGTACTTCTGTATTATTATTCAAGAACATCTCGTCAGACATACATATCGATACATGTCTGGTGCACTCTCACTAACAAGCAGGCATCGCAGGCTACATTCGCACCAGCAATCAAAAGAAGTTGAGGTGAGTGAATATTTCCATAAAATTAATAATTGGAAGACAAATGAAGGTGTGGAGGATCGCCCAAAAACACTGACAAGGAGACAGTAAACGGTACACAGTACTCGTATGCATGTACTTATACACGTTATAGCAGCACAACGAGAAAGACCATGATGCATGATGATTAATGTTGCATCAATAAATTTTACAGAGTTATTTTGGGAGTAGAAATGAAGATGTGTTCGAAGCAGTAAACTGCGTAAGCACTACGTTGAGCCAGAATATTGAAATACAGTTTCCTGCAGTCAAAACAAGACACTCACACTTCTCTGGTCTAGTTCGCCATTCTTATCGATAAACTTGACTTGATTTAATTTCTTACGATGGTTCTTGAGAATGGATCAATGATGTCTTGAATAGATGTCTTCCTGAACGACTTCAACTGAGAGGCAGTTTCAGTTTCAACAAGCTGGACATTGTTTTTCTGTGGAGTCTTCCACAAGAAAGACAGAGCTACACACACGAAGGTGCTTGATGTACTCAGTACCTTCTTGGAAATGAACATATTTTCATTTCCATCTTCATTATATTTTCGTCTCTGCATCGTCCACTTCTGACTCCGTAATCTTGTCACCCATCCTCTCCAAAAACACAAATCGAGTGCTGCTTGCATGCTGGATCAGTTGAAGTCAGTCTCTGCTCTAGCAAGATCGGCATGCAAAAATTACATGACTGAAAATATTCCGAAATAGCTTTTCTGAACGACGAAGTTTGTTCTTCAAATATGATGAATAGCACAACCTACTAGCCAGAACGTCCTCTCAAAAGAGATTCTATCTGAAGCCTGCAAGATTTTTGACCACCCTTCGTTTTGGAGAGGAGCCCACACACACCAGACTCGAGCTACAAGTAAACTACGCGGAGATCGAGAGTTGATCGAAATCTTTCTTGCTCACTTCTGAAACCATGGAAACCTGTGAAGGAAAAAAGTATGCTGAACGCGTGAATGCCTACAGTTGAGTCGTAATATTTTGACATGGATCCTGTGACCGTTCACAGAGAAAGTCGCGGCTGTTTCTGACTGGTCATCGGGATTCAAACTGGTGTGTGACTTTATGACTGCTCTTCGGGGATTTGTGACTGTTTGATTGGTCACGGGGATCGTGATCGGTCATCGAGACGTGACTGCTCACTGAGTCCTACATATATCCTAGGTTGCATACATGTGCCCTCATGCAATCAATCCATTTATTGCATCTTGTCCTCACACTTTAACGTAGATATGCTGACATTTGAAAACCTACCCTCGATTCTGAGGGGTTGGACTGTGTGTGTGTGTGGGGGGGGGGGGGCTTTTGGGTGGTCTGTAAGCCGGTGCGAACTTGCAATCATCTTTGCAAGATTCTTCCTTCCCTCTGTGATTTCCTGGAGATGCCCCATGATCAGTGAGCACATATAACATGTGCATGCGCATGTCTGTACATGTCTCTGTGCTTTGTCTGTTCTATCTACATTTGTTTTGTTTGTTTAGGTTTATCAGCTGAAAGTCACTTTTGTAGATGCATCCTGGTATGTATCTCGTCGCTATAGTGAATTTTACAGTCTGAACGAAGTGGTAAGTACTGCGTGTGTGTGTGTGTCTGTGTGTGTGTGTGTGAGTGTGTCTGTGTCTGTGTGTGTCTGTGTCTGTGTGTGCGTGTCTCTCTCTCTCTCTCTCTCTCTCTCTCTCTCTGTCTCTCTCTCTCTCTCTCTCTCTCTCTCTCTCTCTCTCTCTCTCTCCTTATCTCGCTTGGGTCATGTTGATTGTTGTCTGTGATAGATTGGAATGTGTCCCTTTGACAATGTTTAGCAGACAACTACAGTGCAGCCAGCTCCAGTCCAACCATCCAACCATTAACCTGTCGGTTGGGTTGGGCTACCCTCCGTGGCTTTGCATTGTTTTCAATGAGACTGATTTATTGTAAGCTTTGGAGCAAATGTCCGAGGATGCAAGAATATATCAATGCAAGATTTTTAAAAAAGGGCAATCAACCCTCCACTAGGCAGAACATATGCAATAATTATATTGTATACTGCGTAGTAGACTTGATTTGTTTGGCTTCACACGGGCAAGGAAGACGGGATACTACTGTCGTGGACATTAAAATCCGATGGGATGCCCGGGGCTGGCGTTGCCCTTACTGCTTTTAGCACGTACACGCACTGTAGTTCACGCACACACTGTAAAAAATGGACCTGCAGTGCACGCGGCTGCAAGGCCAGCGCCCCGTGACCGCTTGACTTCTCAATGGATTTCAATGTCCGCTACAGTACCGTACAGTAAGGTAAAGCCGTTCATATGTTGTGTTCATATTCTATTTTTCAGCTCACCAAGCAACATGGCATCGACAAGAACTTGTTGCCCGCAAGGCGATTGTTTGGCAACCAACGGCACTCAGTTATTGAAGAGCGCAAAGCCGGATTGAGCAACTATCTAGATCAGATCTGCAAGCTGTTAAACCCATTGCCGTCATGTATCAAGCTGTTCCTGGATTTTCACCGACATGTAAGTGCTGCACATTCGGTAGTATTTTCAGCGAATGTGCAGTCCTCTTGGTTTGGTCAATGGCGTTAATTTAACAAAAGCAATAGATGTAACTGCAGCCATAGTGTGTGTTGTTTGCAGTGTTATACAATGCCGTGTTGCGCTATGCACATGTATAGAGAGAGCCCCTACTATTACGTTTGAAATGTAAACCATTGTGCAAGTTGAGCAAGAGGTGTGTAGTCAGATTTGAGGGCAAGTGCGTCGGTCAGAACTTGTGTAACCTTGTATCTCAGTGCATATTCGTATGAATGGAATCAATCATGAGTACAAAGGCAAGACCAGCCATTACATACCCTGCGAGCGAAGCTAGGAGGGTATGTATTCGCTGGTCGACCCTAAGTAAGAATGTTTTGATTGCATTTATGACATGCACTCAGCGGACAAACCCAATAACATTCACAGCATTTCAGTGCTTCAGCCAGTATATCTATGGTGATAGCCAATCAATCACGCTGCATGCAAATTGCAAGCGTCCACCATGTCTCTGAAAATCCACATTGTATTGGCATCGTGACTGGCATTTTGCACCTGACTTAGAATTGAATATTTATGTTCACCACCCTGAGGAAAGCAGACCTTTTTGAGTACTAGTAGTACGAGGACACTGTCAGGTCGTAGCCTTGTCTATGCCAAGCGCAGAGTGAATGTCGAGTGTCTGATGACTGGGAATATTATGCCATACACTCGACCTTCTATTATCGCGCACTGGGTGTCACCAGACTGTACCACCTGTTACTGATAGCATGTACATGTATAATCATGTACATGTACATGCACTTGCACTTGCTACACACATTCTGTACATAATAATCATAGCAGTGTTACACGTGTTATGGCACCTGCTGGTCTAAATGTGCCGTAATAGTTTTGTCTTTGGTCACCTTACATGTGAATGCCAGACTGTATGTATGACTTGGGAGTACTTGTGTCTTACAAATACCTGCTAAAAACTGCAATCGTTTTGTCACCAATTGCATGCGCGTGAGTTGTTATTTCTGGAGCTTTCCTATTTATACTAGGTGTTGCTTGCCTCCACTTCCTTACTGAGGCACTGATGATGGCCAATGGGTGAAATGTTGATAGTGACGATTGATTGTATTCGTTGCAGCTAAGAGCCTGTGCTGGTGTGTGTTTGCGATGGAGGCATTTTCAAATGTGCATGCAGTAGTAAAACATACCTGTCAGCAAACAAGAGAGCTAAGAGAACTGAGAGCTCTGCCTGGTAGAGGAAGTTGACTCGATGGACGCAGTATGGTGGCCAAGTGAGGGAGGTGATCAGATTAGGGAGGGCTGTGTGTACTGTCAGGATTATGTCCTTTATTTCCTGCAGCATTTCTGGACTTTTCTGTGTTCACTTGGTCCTTGAGTATCTTGTGTCTTCCCCTTTTTGGTCCCTTGCAGCATCCTCTGAGCATCACGTATGATCTTGCACGTCATCTGTTTCACCATGGTCAGTATGCACTGTTGTTCAGTCCTTCTTGTTGTGGTTTCATTCTCCATGCTAAATAACCGATATACCGGTACATACCCTATGTGGACTAAGTACATGTATACGACTGTGCTTGAACATACAATCACATGCTAGTTATCCAAACACTTTTTGGGACCAGCCCTGTTTGAATAAGTTAATAATTTGCATCCTGATAATGGCAATTTGCCGAAACGTCAATCATGGTACAGTCAGACCTCGCTTAACCGCACACATCTGTTTTCCACAAAAACATCCGGATAGGCGACGGAACCGGATAACTGAACACACATACTGTATATGCATGTGGCATATCAAAAGCAGTGACATCGTACATACATGTACTTCGAAGTAGACGGGTCCTATGCAGTACAACTAGCGTGCACAGTATGTAAAACAAGCGAGAAAAATGACAAGTGCATGCAACTGAGTGCTGTCCACATGCACCCAGCAGGTCAAGGACCTCATTTGCCTGTACAACTCCCTGATTCTAGCTTCTGCAAGGCACATGCAACCGGATACGACGAAGCTTTTTGTACACATTTCAACCAGTTTGTACACAAAATCATGCACCGGTATGCGGATCGCGAGGTCCGGTTATGTTGTATACATAACATATGCTGCACATCGGTAACCAGCGATTTTCTTCCGGATGGCGAGGGATCCGGATAAACGAGGACCGGATAAGCGAGGTCTGACTGTACTGTAAACTGAGTTGTGAGTTTGCAGTGCCCGGGGAAAGAGCATGTGTGCTCACCATCTCTCTGAAGTGTAAGCTAGTCTATTACCTTGCTCTAGCCACTGTGCATTTTCAAGGTACTCCTTGTAACATGTTAACCCTTTACGCAACGAGCTCAACGTTTACAGAGAATTCCACCGTGTAAAAACTAAAAACATTGCCTTGAATTGAACATAACTTTAATTTCCCTTGGACAATTGTCATTATCTTGGGCATCCTGGAAAGCTCATGACGAGAGGAACACCGTGGACTCAAACTCAATCCCACAGGATGCGCTGAACCAGCGCTGCAAGCCAGCGAAGGCGTTTCAGCACGGGGCTTGCACTCTCGATCGATCTCCATCCGCCATTTCACTCTCTTTGCTTGTATGAAGCTCCATTTTTTTGTAGTCACTCACAGGAGTCTTAGTTTGAATTCAATTGTCTGCATGTTCCAGCATCAACGTTTCCTGGTGTTTGGCCATTGTTTGCACGTGCATGTACTCATGTATGTACGTGTGTGTGTATACATGTATCTGGTGGAAATGTGTGTGTGTATACATGTATCTGGTGGAAATGTGTGTGTGTATACATGTATCTGGTGGAAATGTGTGTGTGTATACATGTATCTGGTGGAAATGTGTGTGTGTATACATGTATCTGGTGGAAATGTGTGCGTGTATACATGTATCTGGTGGAAATGTGTGTGTGTATACATGTATCTGGTGGAAATGTGTGTGTGTATACATGTATCTGGTGGAAATGTGTGTGTGTATACATGTATCTGGTGGAAATGTGTCTACAACTCTAGACAGTACAGTAAAACCTGTGTTTGCCGGACCCTGTACCAAACGGAATCCTGCATTGACCCGACAAATTTTCATGCACCAAGTGCCGTAGACAGAACGTACATCCCTGGATCAAGCGGAATCCTGTTATATCAGACAGTTTCCGCTGTGCCAAGGGTGTCCGGTTAGGGCAGGTTTGACTGTAGTTTGTGCTATGCTATCTGATGAGTGCTTTTTAACACGAAGCTTCGAGTAACAGTGAAGAAGGACGTGGTTGTATCATTGATGTGTGCCTATTGTACTGTGTATATATCTGTGTGGTGTTTGTGTGTGTGTGTGTGTGTGTTTGTTTGTGTGTGTGTGTGTGTGTGTGTGTGTGTGTGTGTGTGTGTGTGTGTGTGTGTGTGTGTGTGTGTGTGTGTGTGCACACACCTGCATGTGTGGCGTTGTTATGTTGGCAATGTTTGAGCAGGCGATGAGATCCTGATGTCTCGCTTGCCAGTGCGTCTATCATCCCTGCAGCTCTTCTCCATCACGCAGAGACTGCTTACAGATGCTGCACCCACAGGTGAATGATGTGTTGCTGTGTTATGTTGTCGGCGATGTGTTGGTGTACTCTCCTTTCAGTGCTGTATCATTGTGGGTATCCGCACATTTTGTACACTACCGTAGCGTACCGTCTTTACGCCATCTGGCTCTAATATCCATTTCACAAGCACTCTGAGCTGGTGTATGGTTTCATAATTGAGACACAGGTATCTACAAGGGTTTCTACTTCAACTCCCTGTGCTGTTGTGTAGGCGGAAGCAGCAAACAGGAGATAGAAGGATATGGCATGTCCTTGTCTGTGGCATTACAGCTGCACAGTAACTCCAGGCTTGGCCAGTGAAAGCTAGACCCACGGAGCCTTTTAGCGTCATGAACTGGTTATAATGACATTGTCTCGAGCGCATTGCCACACTGTTGTAACTTGATTTATTCTTCCGCTCCCAGACCAGTGCCATCTCCACACTCAGACGATTGATGACACGACTCCATTGGGAAAGGACTATATTTACAAGGAGATGACTAAAACAAAACTGGACATGACGAAGACTCCTTTCCACACAGCTGTAACATGTGCATGCACCAACACCACGTACACATGACGTGCACAAAAACACCCGCACTACAATAGCATGACCTTCGTCGCTACACATGATAATTGGTCTGAGTTTCATTGACAAGAGCTTCACAACGAGATCGCACTATCGGAACATGCCCAATTTCTCTCTCTCTCTCTCTCTCTCTCTCTCTCTCTCTCTCTCTCTCTCTCTCTCTCTCTCTCTCTCTCTCTCTCTCTCTCTCTCTCTCGGTCTCTCAAACTGCGATTCATGTGCTATCTGCTTGTTTCTAATAGAGAATGGGGACAAGGAAAGTGATATTGGCCATCTCTTCGACGTCTTGTACTGCTTGGAAAGCTTAGAGGTAGGTGATGTTTGCTATTTGGTGTAAATCTGATTCTGGATCAGGCTGAAGTCAGAAGGCATCCTGTACTGCCCCGTGCACTCGCTGAAACCCATTAACTTTCAAAGTGCAGTGCTGCTCAATGAAATCCAGTCGTGCCACTCAAGTTTGCGCCTTGCACCATTTCGCAGCCCAGTGTTCGCAGGTCTAGGGCTGTGCAACGCCCGGCTTGAGTGATGCGACTGGATTTCATTGAGCAGTACTGTGTGTGTGTGGGGGGGGGGGGTGCGTGTGTGTGTGTGTGCGTGCGTGCGTGCCTGTGTGCATGCATGCGTGTGTGTGTGTGTGTGTGCGTGCATGCGTGTGCGTGCGTGCGTGCGTGTGTGTGTGTGTGTGTGTGTGTGTGTGTGTGTGTGTGTGTGTGTGTGTGTGTGTGTGTGTGTGTGTGTGTGACTGAGGATGGGTGAGTGTGCGTGTCACTAAGGGTGGTTGAGTGGATAGGTGTCACTGAGGGTGGGTGATTTTGTGTGTCACTGATGGTGTGTGTAGGGGGTGGGAGGGGAGTGACACTGAGGGTGTGTGTGTGGGGGGGGTGTCGCTGAGGGTGTGTATGTGGGGGGGGGGGGGGGGGGGGGGGTCACTGAGGGTGAGTGAGTTTGTGTGTCACTGAGGGTGTGTGTGGGGGGGGGGGGGTACTGAGGGTGGGTGGGTGATGGGGGGGGGGGGGTACTGAGGGTGGGTGGGTGATGGGGGGGGGGGGCACTGAGGATGGGTATGTGATGGTTGGGGGGGGGGGGGGGGGGTCACTGAGGGTGGGGAGTGTGTATGTCACCGATAGTCGGTGAGTGTGGTTATTGATATGTGCATCTCATAGAAGAGTGTAGTCTGGTTGTGTAGACTTAAAATGTTGGTCCTTTACTGACTATGTGGTTCAATTGGTGGGTGCAATTGTGTTTCATCTTTGGCCAGTTTTCAGCCACTAGACTGGGCTACTTGGAGATCGTACTGTTGCCTCTACCACATGTGTGGATGTATACTATGTATGTGTGTATACTACAAGCAAACTCGGTAACACTGCCCTGTTATCGTCTCTATTCTCACCAATATCCGTTAACTCTCACAAAACAACCCAATACCATTGTCCCAATGCCACGCCTTCACTTCGCACATATGCACTAACTTCCACACTAGCACCAAATATCTAGGCCTGCTCGTAGAGAATTCGATAGTGAATGCTGCTGTCTGATGATCGCTTCGATGCGTGAAACTTTAAGTTACAGCTAACACAGCCTTTCGCCTCTGTTGTGTGTGTGTGTGCGTGTATATACTATGTATGTGTGCGTTTGTTTGTGTGCAAATGGCTTTTTGCATGTGCGTGAGTAGGTGACTGGAACTGGAAGGAAGTTTCCCGATAATCGCTCTCTTTTGACGCAGGATTTGGAGCCATTCAAGAGCATGACACAGCTCCTGGTACGTTAACGTTGTAAGGAAAACCTTGTTACAGTGAAACCTCGTTAGAAAGAACACTGATAAGGCAAATGGTTGCTTTTAAAGAAGGACTAGTATTCGTAACTGTATTGGATAAAACCCTGTGTATTCACTGGGTAAAACATATGGATAAGAAGAACTCCCGTTATTGCGAACAAATATCATCGGTCCCTTGATGTTCGTCCTAAAAAGGTTTGACTGTACTAGTAACTACTAAACTAGCACATGTACATTGTATGTAGTGACCCCGGGTCATGTGCTCAGTCACAATGTCTATCATGTGCTCAGTCACAATGTCTATCATGTGCTCAGTCACAATGTCTATCATGTGCTCAGTCACAATGTCTATCATGTGCTCAGTCACAATGTCTATCATGTGCTCAGTCACAATGTCTATCATGTATTTCATTTCCTATTGAGCCGTGGTGTTGCATAATGAGTGCTTGCGTTGTTCCCAGCATGGTAACCGGGCCAGGACCTGACATACATGTATCAGCTATGCTTCAATGTCTTCCTGTACAGTCGTGCTCAATGAAATCCAATCTTATGGGTTTGAAACTCGGATGTTGAGCCAATAATAAATGTAAAACGGAAGGGGACATATGGATACAAATTAAGAGTAACTCTCCACCACTGTAATTAGATACTATATACAGTCAGAAAGTGCAACAACTAGGCACAAAACTGACAGAATACTGAGTCTCAACATTCGACCACCTGACACCTAGCTCCAACACATCTCCGAAGCGCTAACCGACAGCCTTCCAACTTGGAAGGTTCTAGGTTAAGGTAGACCAAAGAGGGAAATGTGTTGGAGCTAGGTGTCAGGTCGTCGAATGTCTCAGTACTCTGTCTGTTTTGTGCCTAGTTTTTCCACTTTCTGACTGTGGCGCCTAGTCGATGCATGGTTGGCGGTATTCTTTCTTTTTATTCATTTCTAACCCATTGCTCAATGGGGGACCAAAACCTGAGTTTTTTTTATTATCAGATCGCCCCTACATGTGTGATTCTGTGAAACGCAGGGCCGCATGTGCCCTTGTCACACCACAAAACAACCCTTTTATGAACACTCATGGTTCAGTGCCAATACCGGTAGTTTTTCGATCAAAGTCAAAAAGCCCCGGTATGCCGGTAGTGACCGTAGTTTCCTGGTATAATACCGGGAAAACCGGTATGGTTGGCAAGTATGGGTGTAGACTACGCATACCTTAAAAATGCACTGAATTTGAAGCATGCTCTGGCTCACTAAAGTGAATGCGCAACAGCGGGGATTCTTACTAGGCATAATAGCCGTTTCTCCTTTCCTACACTGCTGCTGGTGCTGTTGCTGCTTCTGTTTCATGTCTTTATTCTAATAATGGACTGTTGCTGCTGCTGTTGTTGCTGCTGCTGCTGCTGCTATTGTTCCTGTTGTTGTTGCTGCTGTTCCTGCTGCTAATGCTGCTGCTGTTGTTGTTGCTGCTGTTGCTGCTGCTGCTGTTGTTGTTGCTGCTGTTGTTGTTGCTGCTGTTGTTGTTGCTGCTGCTGTTGCTACTGTTGGTGCTGCTGTTGTTGGTGGTGGTGGTGTTGCTGTTGTTAGGTGGATCACTGTGACCTTGGCAGTGTTGTATGCGCAGATCGACTGAAAGATCAATTGCAAACACTTTCGGTACACCAGACAATTTCATCCTGCCAGGTAAGTGGCTTGAGTGAACCCCAATACAGCGAGCAGCAGTAGTTTCCACCTCTGTTCCTTTTCTACTACTCCAATGATCTGCTCTCTTGTATCTGTGGCACAGATTCAGTTTGTATTTTCATTTTTCAACCCCCTTTTTCTCTTCTTTCTACTGCTGTAGGAGTTGCTTGTAAACTGGCCAAGTGAAGAAGTCCGTACATCGCCATGGTGTTGTTTGGTTACTCTGAATCTAAACAATAACCAGATCAAGGAAATTGATGACTCAGTTGTAAGTAGTGTCCTGATTGTCTGCACCTTTTTCTGATCATGTTCTGATTTGTGCTGGCTTCATGCTGTCTGCTCCGTAGGTGTACAATGTACAATACATGAGGTTGTCTACCTGCCCCCCCCCCCCCCCCCCCTACACCTCAGACCTCAGACATGCCCATCGCGGAAGCGATGATAGCGAACAGCTACGTTAGACATCGCAACTTGTGCTGGGATTACACCATTCAACAGCTTACACACACACACACACACACACACACACATACACATACACACACACACACACACACACACACACACACACACACACACACACACACACACACACACACAAGCGCTTTCTCGATCTGTGTCTGGCCTTTGTTAGTCTAAAATAAACCTCTTTTTTTCTTCTTTCCAATTCCATCTTCAATCCTGACGGTGCTTTATTCTTACTTGTGCTGCTGCTGTTGCTGCCATTATCTTCCTTGCTGTTGTTACATTGTGTGTTTGCTGTTGTTACATTGTGTGTTTGTTGTTGTTACATTGTGTGTTTGTTACCACAGAAACTGTTACTTCATGTTGAGCAATTGGATCTCAGTTCAAATCGTATCCAAGTGATTGCGAATCTGAAGGTAGAGAGTTCTACTGTGATAATGCGTGTCGTGGCAAATCCACTTGCAATTCCGATAAGGCCTTTCGTACTACAGCTGTATTACTTCTCAAATGAGTGCATGGTAATAATATGATGAAGCGCAACAATGTCAATTTATACCTCTGTGTTCGCATGAATTGATGATGACACGTACATTGGAAAATGAGGCCGTGTCAGAATTACAAGTGGCTTTGTCGTATCTCCCCGGTTCTAACTTACTGGGTAGTGGCAAGCCCTATTGCCCGGTGTATTGTGTGCGAAGTGTACTTGCTGCTGCTGCTGTTTCTGCTGCTACTGCTGTTGCTGTTGTTGCTGCTGCTGTTGCTGTTTCTGCTGCTGCTGCTGTTTCTGCTGCTGGTGCTGCTATTGCTGTTGCTGCCGCCGCTGCTGCTGCTACTGTGGCTGCTGGCCTGCGTATGTGAAAGCACTGCAGCATTGAGCAGTGAGGCAGCACTAGTAAGCAACAGTACGTTATCTCCAGAACAGTGCAGATGCCTGTATGTTCTCTAGCCAGAGCTGCGCAGGTGCCTGGCGCTCTCTCTCTCTCTCTCTCTCTCTCTCTCTCTCTCTCTCTCTCTCTCTCTCTCTCTCTCTCTCTCTCTCTCTCTCTCTCTCTCTCTCTCTCTCTCTCTCTCTCTCTCTTTGTAGGGCAAGTCTCGTCCGGCCAAAACATGTATATGGGTCTGGCAAGCTCTCCTGGTCCAGCCAGCACAATGCATTGATATGACATGGCTTTCTTTTTGTCATATTTTGTATCCTCTTTGTTCTCACATTATGGTATGTTTCTGAAAAAAAGCGGTCTGGACAAAGCCTGAGCAACCAATACAGATGTGTCTTGCTTACACTTGCCTTGTGAGCCTGTGAACTTCAAACAAACACGTATCTGCTGTTTGAATGCAACCAACAATTTGTTGATTCTAAATGGTTGTCCTCGTCTTCATTGCTGTCTTTCTTGTGTGCATTTTAGCATCTACCCCGGCTACGGTGGCTAAATTTGGCCCATAATGAGATCAGCAGTGTGGACGCTCTACACCTTCATCTTGGCAATGTTACAACATTGTTGATACAGGACAACTGTATCTCTAGTTTAGCTGGTATGTCTCTCTGTGCTGCTGCTGCTGTTTCTGCTGCTGCTGCTGTTGTTGCTGCTGTTGTTGCTGTTGTTGCTGCTCTTGTTGCTGCTGCCGCCCTGCTGCTGCTGGTGCTACTGCTGCTGCCACGGCTGCTGCTGCTGTTTCTTCTGCTGCTGTTGCTGCTGCTCGTATTGCTGCTGCTTCTGCCGCCGCCGCTGCTACTGCTGTTGTTGTTGCCGTGGCTGTAGGTCTAGCTGCTGCTGCTGCTGCAGCCACCACGACCATCAAGGGGTGATGGTGGATATTTAAACACCTTTCTAATTCCATGGATCGTTGCATCATGGATTACTTATAAGGTTGTTTGGTGCATTGATGGCTAATGGATAAAAAAAATCTGCCCACCATTTTACCACTCACATTCCTTCTGCCACTATCCGATTGTCTTGCTTTTCAGGTTTA